CTCGTGGCTCAGGGTATTCTGTTCTCCTGGGCCGAACAAGCCGGACAAAGTTTCAGCAATCTCTATCTCTGTAGAGAGTATCCAGCTACGAGTTTGTTGTCCTGCTGCGGGATCGCACAGTGGTAGAGGAGTTCCCTGCATTCGGTCATTGGCGAATTGTTCACTGTTGTGAGTGAGGGTGCGCCCAGAACTTGTCGTTGCGAACCAGGGCGTTGCCGTCTGATGTCGGTTCCTCCTCGTGGTGGACGGTGGAAACGAGGGTTTTACCCTCGGCTAATCGCCGACAAAATAGGTGCTGGTTTTGGTAGTAATACCCAGGGGTCGATAGTATAGTCAAATTACAATGTCTCATGCCCCTCTTCCCAGCACCTTTCATGAATGAATAAAACACTAACTGATAGTTGTTGACCATTCTTTTGCATGAAAATGAAAAGTTTCACATACGATCTTCTCACTGCCGCTCCTCCCTTTTTTGTTTATCTCTCGCAGGCAAGTAATCACAAAAATTAGCTCATTTGTGCGAGTACTGAAGCGTGAAACTAGAAACAAGTCCATTGGACATTACTTAAAATTCCAACTTGATTCCTACTTTTTTTTTCGTTGAATCCATGATTTAAAGTTCTGCAATTTTGGAGAAACACCAAGTTTTTTGGCAAACTTTCTCGAATATCCGATTTAAAATACAAAAATTTGTATATTTTCCGTATCTCATTAGCTTGAGTTTCTATAATTTACTTTTTTATTCCAGAATAAATACATGCAAATGCCACGAAAAGACAAAAGCGAATATACCAATCGATCACAGATGAAAAATTTAGATTTGTTCGGAGTTAATCCAAAATGACTAAGCGTTTGATTAAAAAGCATTTCTATAGAAATAAGAAAAGCAGAGAAGAGTTACTTTTCATCTGATCGTATCAATGATCTGTGACTAGAAACTCAATATTCATGTTTGCGTATTGGAGAAAATTATCCAATGCAAAAGTTATAGGTGCTTCAACTATTCTTGACATGGCGAGGGCGATTTGTACTTGTAAAAGCCGACGAGATACTTTATCAACGCTTCCGACGCTGCACTTTTATGTACAGGTGATTAATGTTGTGTGCTTTATGTTTTCTTGTTATTAGATTATAAACATAGGCCTTTGGCTAATTGTAAGAATCTGAATTTATTTAGTTCCAATTTGTATTTACTTTTATAATCTCGCCAAAAAAAGTAGTTTTACTTGGAAGTACAATTAAGTATCATACTTACGATAAATGGTTGTTCGCACCTCCAAAGTACATTTAAGGTGCGCAAATCTACGATGCATGTAGAGGATCAACAGTAACGTCATAATGTTCCGTCAGAGAAAATTCTAAAGCTCTATTATTCTTTCAGCACATCTTTAAGCCAACTTTGGTCGTCAACTTGCGCGGTAGATTTGCACGCCTTAAGTACCTCATCTTTGAATTTATCAGAGGGAACGCTCCTAAAACCTGAATATTTGAACTTCGTTGTAAGGAGAATACATAAAAAGCGCCTTCAAAATTTCGTTTATGCCATACAGACATCGGTTCAGCATTGGTAACCAAGTGAGCATTGCCTCTGTGAATCTATCATAATTCAGTGCATATACTTGACGATTCCGTATTCTTACAGAGCTTATGTGACTTTAGGCTATTTAATTTTAAGGCATCGACTTTAAGTTTAATATATACCTTGTAATGCATGTAGAAAGGTAAGATACGAAACACTGTCAGCAACTTTATATTGCTTTCTGTTTGAATAAAATTGTATTTTTTCGAAAAGAAAGAAAAAAAGAAGATTGAAATTGTATGTAAAAGTGTTTGTTGGTGATTGATAGAATTGTGAAAACAGAAATTCTAAAAATTAATGGAGAAAAAAGGGTTCTACGAAATAAAAGAAATTCGAAGTCACAATTTTGTTATTTTATTAGATTTGTTTAATATACCTAGAGCCCTCTCTAAATCCGTTCGTCGAAATACTTTTCAATGTCCTCTCAACATATTACAGAAACCTCCGAGGAAACAATATTTGCCAAATATTTTTTGTCTGAGGAATTCTTATATGTATGAAACCATATACTATGTATAAGCAGCGGATTTTTGGAAGGTAACATCAATATACAGAGTTATATATTTGTTTAAAATTGGAAAGACATCTCATAATCGGATCGCACTTAGGATAACGGAACCAGAGTGATAACAGTGTTGTGAAAATGTTGCTTCTTCATAATTATCTAAAAAATCTTCCAGGACAGCAAATAGTTTTTTTCCCACCAAAACATTGTTAATTTTGAAGAAAAATCATTGTGTTTCGAATACTGTACATATATATGGTAGTTTTAAAAGAAAAGAAGTTTAAAGATTTTTAAAACACTGTGATCGCGCTGATTCCTTCTTGCTAAATTTGAATCAATTAGAACCTCAACGAGAAAACGTAGCCATCTACGACGGGAATAAAATATTGAACAGCGGACTTTTTAAACATGGGCGAAATTGTAGGTATCAATGATAGCCATCAATGCGGATTTAGAAACAACCCAAGTAGCAAAATATAATATTTTCCTAGAAAAAAAATATTAAGAAAACTTCTAGAAAAAACAAAGAAAATGAGAGCTAGGTATCCAGAAAATAGAAAGAAAAAACATTGCAAGTCAAAAGTCTCACCAAAAAAAATAGATCTAGGTATATTATAGGTCTACTTTCTGTCAACTTCCCATTTGGAAAAAAGATAGAAAAATTGAAAGTAGAATTATTTTCTAGCCAATTTTTTAATGTTTTCTTTTAAGAAAATGCAAGGAAAAAAATGTATTTTCTTTCTATTTTCTTGTGTCTATTTTCTAGATCTACTTTATACCTATTTTCTTTCAAGAAAATTGTTCTATCCAGAAAGTAGACATTTTCTTGACGAGTGCCACCTATAAAGGAGATGATCAATGCTACTTGGGAAGTTGCGATTTTGTATAGGTATCATTTTCGGGGATATTGGTACCTACATCAGCGAAAGGAACAGAAAACAACCCAAAGAGGTGTATTTTGAGGAGAATCAAGGGAAGAGGAAAAATAAATAAAAATCCGTTCATGAGAGCCAAAATGTTTGAGTATGAAGAAAACAATCGCACAACTCATTGTCAGTTCAAATATTTCAAGTAAGAAGAGCAATTAAAAATTTTCGTAGAACAACTTCTGCCTCCAACAGCTTGTGGTTTCTATCTCCACTCAAAAAAGTATTTAGGAAAAAAACCGAATGAACCTTCAGGCGTTGCCAGAACCCCTGTTATAAAATACAAATTCAGTGAAAAAGTTTTAAGTAGTTTTCCTCCCATTTCTCAGAAAATTCCGATAGCAATTTAATATTAAATATCTGAAAATTTCAAGTGAAAATCTGCAAATCTTTAGCAATTTAATTTTAAATATCTGGAAATTTCAAGTGAAAATTTGCAAACCTTTTTCCACAATAAATGTTTTATTTGACAAAATTTGGCAACATTTAAGTAAATGTTTATACGGCGGGTTTTCTCAGCACGAAAGTTTATCCTTCCTTGCTTTTCTGAATCGGAATCGTTATTTGGATTACATTTTGCACTGAGGCACCACAATCTCTGGCTGGCTTTTCCATTAAAGCACCTCTCTGCAAAGGGAAACCGGAATAATGCTTGTTGGAATGTTCTCAGAATATTTTTCGCATATTAAAATTGTCATCGGAATGTTTTCAGAATATTCTGACAATGTGCCCGAGCATTCTTGGAATATTCTCAGTATAATCCTAGAACATTTCTCTCTCCGGGTAGGATGTTCTCAGAATATCCTCAGAATATACGCTAGCATAGGAGGAGAGAGCATCTTAGACCCCCTACCTCCTCCCATGGTTCACGTAATCAGGCCCGCCACATCCCATCTCGGGCCCTGGTACCAGTTTTAAGGTCCGGGCCCCAAGCATGGAGGGGGGGGGGGGTCCGATGGGCATCCCCCGAGAAATTTTAGAATTTATACGACTAATCGGACGCATTTTGAAGCTTCCATAAAGAATTTTTCCATCAATTTCTGCGGAATAATTGTTTTTTTAATCTACTTTCAGCACTAAATATTTGCGAATTGTTGCATTCAAAACATCTGGAAAATTTTTATTTTTTATTTTTTTTTTGGGGAGGGGGGCATATGATACTATTTTCAGTTCTAAGAGGGCCAGGCCCCCATGGACTCCCCCTTCGTTTGTCTATGGCAAGGGAGTGGAGCCATGAGCCATTGAAGTCGAGGATGCCCAGACTGGAGACTCTTAGCATCTGACGACGGAAGAAAATGAAACGCAGTTACTAAAAATATCCCTCTGCCATGAACATCTTGAAAATAGATAGAAATTTTCCAAGAAGGATACTTCTTTGAAAATTTAAGAAGAATTCTACAGTGCCCCAGCGTGTTTCTGAAAATCTATTCACCTGTTGCGAAATTTTTAGGGTAAATTTTTCACTTTTTTTTACGAAACAAGGGTTGCATGTGAATTCGTAGTGGTTTTTCACGGGTAACATGGGCCCCCTCCGGGGTCCGGGCCCCGGTACCAGGGACCCAGCATCCCCCACTTGTGGCGGGCCTGTCTTCATGCACGCTGGGCCTGTTGATTTCCTTTGACATTTTTGCAGTGGTGAATGCATAGCTGAAGTGTGCTCCAGGTAGAATTGTATTTACACATGGGTATTTTTTGTAGGAGGATTAAAATTAAACAAGTGGTTAGAAATGGAAACAAAATAATATGAACTATTCAAAACGATTATTCCGTTAACGGAACTTGGCTGTTTTGAAAACGCCTTCAAATGCGGCGTGATACCTCACACATTCCGGAGAGTTCAAATAGTTGTATCATTGCGCCGTAAGAATGTGACGGAAGATTTAAATGGAGATAGCCTCCATGCACGCTGGGCCTGTCGATTTCCTTTGACATTTTTGCAGTGGTGAATGCATAGCTGAAGTGCGCTCCAACTAGAATTGCATTTAGCAAATAGGTGGTTTTTCTACGAGGATTAAAAATAAACATGCGGTGAGGAATACAACAAAAGAATATGAACTATGCAAAACGATAATCCTCGTATCGGAACTTGGCTGTTTTGAAAACGCCTTCAAATGCGGCGTGATACCTCACGCATTCCGGAGAGTTCAAATAGTTGTATCATTGCGCCTTAGAAATGCGACGGAAGATTACAATTGAAATAGTCTTCATGCAGGCTCGCCACATCCCATTTCAGGGTGGTACCAGTTTTAAGATCCGGGCCCCAAGCATGGGGGGGGGGGTCCGAGGGGCATCCCCTGAGAAATTTTAGAATTTGTACGACTAATCGGACGCATTTTGAAGCTTCTATAAAGAATTTTTCCATCAATTTCTGCGGGATAATTATGTTTTTTTTCCTACTTTCAGCACTAAATACTTGCGAATTGTTGCATTCAAAACATCTGGAAAATTTTTATTTTTTATTTTTTTTTTGGGGAGGGAGGCATATGGTACTATTTTCAGTTCTAAGAGGGCCAGGCCCCCCTGGACTCCCCCTTCGTTTGTCTATGGCAAGGGAGTGGAGCCATGAGCCATTGAAGTCGAGGATGCCCAGACTGGAGACTCTTAGCATCTGACGACGGAAGAAAATGAAACGCGGTTACTAAAAATATCCCTCTGTACTGAAAATCCTGAAAATAGATGGAAATTTTCCAAGAAGGATACTTATATGAAAATTTTAGAAGAATTCTACAGTGCCCCAGCGTGTTTCTGAAAATCTATTCACCTTTTGCAAAATTTTTAGGGTAAATTTTTCACTTTTTCTTACGAAACAAGGGTTGCATGTGAATTCGTAGTGGTTTTTCACGGGTAACACGGGCCCTCTCCGGGGCCCGGGCCTCGGTACCAAGGACCCAGTATCCCCCCCCC